TACATAATGAGTGCACTATGTATTTCAAATTAAGAAATTTGGCTTAGTTGCCAGTAGCTAGTGTAAACAGCCTCTTAAAATGGTAACTTTTGTATATGTATCATTCAGCTCAGTCAGGCTATCAGCTGACAAAGGCAGGATCACTGTGCCAGTCCCATTCTTACCTGAAGTAAAGGCCGTCAGTACAAGTGAATCCAGGCAGGTGTATCTTGATGAACTGGACTGAAAAGGGAAACTCCTCATTACAAACAGATTGTAACTAAAAATAAATCCATTTTATGTTAAATGCAGAAACCAATACAATAAGTTTTGCTTTTGCGCACGTGGAAAGTCAGAAAAGAGAAGTAATTTGTGAGTGTGTGAGTAGCAGAAGGACCTTCATGACTGTGATGCTTGTGTTAGCGCAGTAGCCTGCCTTTATGTGTAACACATAAAAGAGGAAACCTAACTTGTGGAAAGAGATAACGAGGCTTTTTTTTACCTCTGTGTGTCATCTGGCACCTCAAGAAAGGAAAAGATTTACAGCCACTGTTAACCATGTTCCTTGTAGCCACCCTAACAGCACGCCTTCAGCATGCCTTCTGCAGCTATCGCTCCAGCACTGCCCCTCTGCACGTGCTCACTCACGCAACCAGCAGCACAGTTCAGGCTTTAAAAGCCATAACAAAGCCCAACTGTTTAGTGGGAGGGTTGCATGCTTACCCAGAACTGAACACAGAACACATTAATTAAGCAATGGTTGCAAAGCTCTTTGAAACAGAAAAGTGCTCTAGATGCTACAGGTCGTTATTGCTAAACACTTCCCTGTTAGCATAGGAGCTATAATGCATTTCTCTTAAGGTTCCAAGTAAGGGCATAGGAAATGTGAGATTGCAGTTACCACTTACCACATCTGTGAAAGAAAAAGCACTCAGTTCTGATAGCTGTCTATACACAGAAATACAAATCTTGGAGTCAAATATACAACTGTCTTATCTTCTGAAGTTTAGACAGCCATTTCTTTATGTACTACTTGTACCTTTTGTTGCTACTGTTGTTTTTATTTTTTATCCCTTCCCCTAACAGATACAGTTGTTTGCCAGCAGAAGACATGGCCAGTGAGGTAAGAACAGAACATTCCACTTACCATCCTCTGGCATTTTCAGTGGTTAGCAGCATGCATCCATCCACAGTTTTTTCTTAGTAGTGTCAGCACCTAAAGGGACATTCCGAGAGGTTTCAGTTCTGCAGCTTCTGAGATTAATTTGTTTGTTTAGGTAAATATACTACAGTGTCTAAATCTAGGCTAAGTCTTGCAAGATTTGAAATAGCACATTCATTTTCATAACAGATCCTGAGTCATGACTGGCACATAACCAAAATAAAACAAACCCCAGCTTTTGACAGTTTATAAAAAGTGGCAACATTCCCACAAATCTGCTTTGTCTTTATAACAAAGCAATTTCTTTATGACTAAGGCTCTAAGGTATGTTTCTGATTAGTTCATTCAATCCTGAGTGGGTTGTTGTTTTTTTTTTTCCTCTGGGACCTTAATATATTTCACATGGAAAAAAAGAAGAGGGTGTGTTTAAAATTCAAACTTTGCCTTTGCACTCACATGCTGAGCTCCACTTTTATGGTTTTGGCTGGTTCGCCTAAGAGAATAGCCTGCTGCAAGATCTGGAACTAAATCAGTGACCCAAGTCTGCACTATGTGGATCTTAGGGCTTGCTTTTGCCTTCACGCTATTTAATTACTGATGCTATTAATGTAACTTGATATATCTTTATTTGGAAAAGGGCAGTTGGCAAGCACAATCAGATGTGTTGAACTGATTAAGGTTAATGGATCTCCTAAGACATTAGGGATTTAAAATATTTGATTATTTCAGCTAATGCATATCCGCATTTTTAACTCTGCTCAAAGCATCATTGATGCATTTTGCTCAACTTTGCGTAAAGATGTAAGAAGAAAGTTACAGGGTAACTATATGTAACACACACACACACAATCTCTTGTTGGATGTGACTTGAAAGCAGCCACCAAAACCAACGTTCTTAATGCAAACACGTAGCGTGGGAATGGCCAGAGATGATGTTTTCTGAGCTTCTGAGGTGATGAACACCTGCTGCACATGGAAACCACACCAACATAGTTTGTTAATTGTTTTCTTGGAGGTACCAGACTCTAGTATCTTTGAACTATTATAATTAAGCGCTACAATCTTTCTTCAGAAAACACAAAGCTTTTCAGGGATAGTTCTCTTTATTGTGAACTCTGTGGAAAACTGTTCCTTCTCCCCGAATTTGGTCTCCTGGACTGTAATTGCTTGCAGCTTTATCTCTGCACACACTGCTAATGCACTGCCTCAACAATTAGACAAATAGGGACTTTCATACAGGATCTTTGATGGTTTTAAGATGTTTGCTATGATATTTGACAAAAAATACTGCCTAGTTGTTAAACCTCATTTAAGCAATATAGACCTACAATTATATTCTGCTTAGAGTGCAGCAGAAAATACTGCATTCATAGAATAATAGAGTGGTTTGGCTTAGAAGGGACCTTAAAGATCATGTAGTTCCAACCCCTCTGCCATGGGCAGGGACACCTTCCACTAGACCAGGTTGCTCGAAGCCACATCCAACCTGGCCTTGAACACTTCTGGCTTTGGGGCAGCCACAGCTTCTTGGGACAATCTGTACCAGCGCCTCATCACCCTCCCAGTAAAAAAATTTCTTTATATCTAAATGTACACTCCTTCAGTCTAAAGCCCCTCACCCAGCTGCCCACCCCACCACCTCCATCCTATGCCTACAAGCCGTTGTGAAAAGTCTCACTCTGGGTTTCTTATTGGTCCCTTTAGGCACTGGAACCTACTTTAAAGTCTCCCCGGAGCCTTCTCCAGGCTGAACAAGCCCACCTCTCTCAGGACTGTAGGGGGGGTTCTCCCTAGAGCACAGTAGAGCAGGAGACTCCCCTCCCTTGACCTTCTGGTCTCGCTGCTGGTGAGGCAGCCCAGGATATGGTTCGCTTTCTGGATGGCAAGTGCACATTGCTGGATGTTACGATGATTAGATCCTTATATTCAAAGAGGTTACTTACTAGTTCATTTGGTACAGATAAATAAATTCCCAAAATATTATTACTAATAAAGTGCACTTCTTCAATTATGACTATCCCAGACGTCACAGATGAACAGAATGGTTCACAAAAGTGTTCAATGAATTCCCAAGGTCACATACTGAGATAGTAGGAAGTAAAACAACAGAAGAAAATCCCTGAAGCGATGGCATGTTGATCTGTTTGAATCTTGCTCTAATCACATCCATGACATATGCAATACCGATGATGTATGAATGCAGAATTTATCATATTTTAACTTATACAAATAAGTAATTAGAACTGTAATGAAGCAGGGGAAAGGATGCTTATTTTAAAAAAGGTAGGTAACTGCCTCTGCAGTAATCATTTTGCTTATGAAATTAAACACTTCATAGAGAAACATTATTTTGAGGTTTAAGGCATAAGTTTTTATATTTAACAACAGTGCTTATCACTGCAGTGGACTGAGACACCACTTACCTGCACATGCTTTTGGATTCTGCCAAGATTTCTTGTACAAGTGGGTTATTTGTATTTTCACTGTTACAGAGGCCAGTTGTTCGCCTATGGACTGTTGTATTTCCAACCATTCTTTGACTTCTATATATGATGATGTGTGAAGCACTAAAATGAAGAGCATCCTTTTATGCAAATATTTGGCACCTAGAACAATTGGTTTAACACGTTAGATGGAATTTCTATGTATTAATAAAATCCATTATAGTAATAACATTCTTAGAGTACTAAAACAAAACCTTGCAGTAATGTTAGAAACAATATCTCACAAAATTATTATGACGAGCCTTGATTAGAATATCGATGGGAATAACTTTGGATTGAGAATAGCTTTATAAGATTAATGGAAGATTCACTAGTTAATTTGCCATTCTAGTAATTATGACTACATAGAAACCATTCCTTAAAAATATCTTGTAATGACAAATACTCCCTTCAGATTTATAGGCATCCCACATGCACACATAAGGGCAAAATTTCATCCGTCATGAGTCTTATAAGAAAAATCCAAAGAATTTGAGTATTTTTGAAACTTTTTTGTAATAAGACAAATCTCAGCTGTGTTGAGACCCTTTCATGCAAAGATAAAGCCTTCCTAGTGGGTAAGGGATGTATCTCATCTTCAAAAGTGTCTATTTGGAATAACACACTATCCTTTACAAGCCATTTTGTAACAGCATTGGTATGAAATACAGGTGGTTGACTTTATTCCCAGAAATAATATTTTTTAATAATAAAAGGACCTTAATTCACTCACAAGATTATCCAGCTACAGATCAAACACATGTCAATGAGGAAAGATAACCTTAAAATCTGCACAATAATATATCTAAAATCCTGCATGTCCTGCAAATTGTATCTGGTCTGTACTCTGGTTTTAAAACCATATAAAGCCATAATTTAATGACAGTGCTCTAGTGAGAAATAAGAATCTGACAGTTTCAAAAACTGACAGAAATTAATTTAGAACCTGCATTAACACCCATGACAAATGTATGTATTTTCCTTCCACAGAAAACTCTGATCATGCTTTTTTAATTTGAAAAGAGAAGTAAAACAGGAACTGTGGCTCTGGTTTTTGGGAAAGTTTATGCTTGCACTGCAAACATCTGAACGACCATCCTCTGATGTGGAGAGATAGGGACCCAGAGTAAGGGACCCTGCCCTCATGTTTGTGTAAAAACCTTCAAATTCTGAACGTGAAAGGTTAAAACTCAGAAATATTACATAGTGAGAGAGACTTTTGACTTCGGGAACGGCTTCTCCACAGGAGATGTCTCAGAAGTCTAAAAGCAGCAGATTTTAGCCCTGGTTTATGCTCACTGAGGCAGGATGCGGCCCGTATCTCCGTGCAATACCACCGCCCGCCTCCTGACATCCGATGTGGAGAGCCCTCTTTATTAAGTGGGAAGTACGCAAGTTTTATCAGGCCAGGACTTTATCCCCGCCAGCCTGAGGAGGATTAGACCCCACATGCGCTCCCTGTTCCCGGACGGATCCCCCGTTCCCATCCCCGTCCTTTCCCGCCTCGCTTCCCACCTGGCACTCCTAACGCGGGGCTGCCCGGGGCGGTGCCCAGCGCTCTTCGGGGCACCCCAAGCCGAGCTGCCCTTCCCTCGGCCCTCGGCGGGAGGGGGGGAGCCGCGGGTGCTGTGCAGGGGAAGGGCAGAGGGTGCGGAGAGGAGAGCGCTGAGGCGAGGGGCGCCAGCCCTGAGGGGGCGGCGATCCTGAGGTAAGCGGGGGCGGGAACAACCCCAGCTCTTGGGGGTACAGAGGGCAAACAGCTCCCCGGGTGGGGGTAAAGCTTCCTCCTCGTTCCCCACCTTCCCGGCGGGGTGCTTGGGCGGGAGCCCCCCGGCGAGGGAGGCGGCAGCGCTTGGAGGAGGCGCCTCGCAACAGATGGTTAAAGCCGGCTCCTCGCCGCGGCCCGCATTGGCCGGCGGCGCGAGGAAGGGCGGGAGGGAGTCGGCCCCGCGCAGGGAAGGCGACGGCCGCGGCCGGAGCTGCGCGGCCCCGCGGCGGGGAGCGGAGCGCAGCGCCCCAGCCCCAGCTCTCTCGCTGCCCGCGCGGTGCTGAAGTGACCGGCTTCCCGCCGCGGAGGTCGCCGGCGGCGCCGGGCCACCTGTGAGTTTTCCGCCCCGCGGGTGCTGTGAGTAACGCCGCCTCCGAGCGCGGCCGGGCTGGGGCCGCCGGGAGGGTTCTGGCGGTGGGGGCGGGAGGCACGGAGGGATCGACTCCCCGCCGGGGCGGGCGCTTGGGGCGGGCGAGCCGGAGCTGCCGGCTTCTTCTCCGGTTCAACCCGTACAGTACGAGACGGGGAAGGTGTGGGGGGAGACCCTCCCCCAGGCGGGAGGCTGAATCACTGTCGGGAAGGTTTTAATCACCTGTAAGTGAGGAAACCCCCACTCCCAGTCATCCTCCTCCCTCCCTCCCATTCCAGCTTCGCCGGTGTAGGCGCTTGTGGTGAGTAGTTACCGGTGTTTCGTCCTTGGCGCTTTGAGGAGCGGGAGGCTCTCAGGTGGGGAGCCGGGATGCGGGGGAAGTGACTCGCCCAAGGTCACGCCGTGAGGCAGTGGCTGAGCTGGGAGATAACGTGCTCTGTGCTAAAAACTTGCGGTTCCTGCTCCTGTGCTGGGCTGTTCAGTAGCACTGCCAGGCTGCAGGGCTCCAGGCGTAGACGTGCTAGAGTTGTAGGTAGGTCTCTAATTAGTTTGTTGGGGTTTTTTTTGTTGTTCTTTTTCTCCTTTTAAAGCATCGTGTATGGATGTGAAACAGTGGAGAGGTGCAGTGTTCGTGTCATCTCTCTTGCTTTCTCCAACCTGTGAGCATGTGAATGAATGCATCAATGCTTTTCTGTGACTAACGTTTAGTAGATTGCAAACAGAAACTGTTGGTGAAAATATAATGTCTTTTCTTCACTTTTGCCCTGGTGTTAAGTAATGTCTTCGCTATTAACAGTGAATGTCTTATCTATCAGACAGTAGTTGTGAAAGACCACTTAGTTGGACAGCTGTCAACGGTACTTGGAAATTAATCTGCAGTGCAATGGCTTTATGCTTAGTGCATGTGAGAGATGTAAAGTGTGGTGGGCCATGCTTTAAGAATTTACATACTGGAGTATAACGTGATTAAGAGTTCTCTAAAGGATGCAACTGGAGTAATTGTTTCAGTGCTAGCTATGTAACAATTCTCACTCCTTTCCTCTCCAAATGTAATTTTAATGAGTTTACAGAATGATATTTTGATGTAGTTTGTCCCAACTAGTCTCAGTGTTTCTCTCTAGTTTCTCATTATGTGGGAGTAAAACTGACACATGTAAGGATGTTGTTTTGATTAAACATATGAAAGCCCTCCGAGTCAACCCTCTTTATAGAATTTGATTGATTCTTGCATTTCATGTTGTGTCCTGCAGCAGTGAAACTTGAATATTTTACATGTGTTGCTCAAAAACTTAACCAACCCGGTGCTATCGTTCTCAGTTGTAACTGAACTGTCTGGTCGGTTTTGGGGGTGCAGAAGTGGAATATGAGAGAGGTTTAGGAAAACACTTAAAGTACTGGTGTAAATAGGACAGCTTTATTTTTGATCTGTATTGGGGAGCTCAGATGAACTTTGGGCTCTCTTCAGCATAGATCGTGGAATTCAAGGAGAGGTTCCTGGTATCATGGGGACTGATTATTATAGTTGTTCTGTGGTTTGAATATTGAGGGATTTGTATGTGTTTATTTCATTCAGAAAATACAGTGTTATTATCAAAGTATTTAATGGATTCCGAGTTTCCCGCCCTTTCCCCTTACTGGTTTAGATTCCTTGCAAAGAGTCTTTTTTCAGTTAATTTCTATCTGAAAGTGTTTGCCCTTGTTGTATAAAACCATCTTGATTAGTTTGGTCTTTGAATATCTCCGTCATTTTTTCCAGAAGGGTAGGAAAATGTCTGTCGTCTTTCCACCTGGGTAGCTAATATTATTTCAGTAAACAAAATGTGAAGTTGGAATAGGTGATGCTTTGCTACAGCTCTGTATGTTTTATTCTTAAGAAAGTATGTATTCCACTGCTGTGACTTCATCTGAAGCGTTTCTGTTATGAGGATACCAGGTGAGAAGAATTATCACTGCTTATCTAAAAATAAAAAAGTGCAGGCAGATATACTTGCTGTCAGATTTGCAAATATGACTGATGTAGGTATCTGAATGAGTAAGACCCTCTTCTGTTACGAATGAAAGGGAGGTGATGGAATAAAAGAAATACTTTTGCTGTGTAATAGCAGATGTGTGTTTTGAAGATGCAAGATTTAATACTTAATGTCTCAAAGAACTTGACAACTTGGAAAGGGTGTGAATTTATGTTTTATCTTCCCTTCAAAATTGTTTTTAGAAGTAATTAATTTCAATTCCTGGCAGCTCTAACTTCTTGTGCTGTAGATAACATAGAATCATTAAACTATTGTCCAAATAGTTATGGCCCCTCAGAGAGAGACAATATTTCTTTTTCTAGTTTTCCATGCCACCATCCTTCAGCCACCTGAAGATGTAGCCTCACTGTGAATTTGAAAATAGAGTAAAATTAAGATCAAGAACTGCTGCAAACCTATCAGAGAATTTTGGTTAAAGATGTGGATGAGATTATACCTCTGTGAAGAATACTTAGTGCCTTTGCCGGTTTCCATGAAGAGCAGATAAAACCTGCCTTTCAAATCATCCCTTGCAGTACCCTTGACAGAATACATTCTCATTTTTATCAATATGTAGAGCCAGTTTCTCAGGCTGGACTGGACATTTTGGAAAATGAGATGGAGGCCTACATTTCCAATATAAAAATGGATGTGCTGGTGTGCTCTTGTATTTGAGAATTTCTTGTGTTCATTCCAGTACATGCCATGATTTAATTTGAAACCTGAAAAGCTATAATGAGTGCTTTGGTATTTTTGTTGTCTTGGTTTTGTTTTTGGTTTGTTGTTTTGTTTTTTTTTCCTCCTCTTCTTGCTCCTCCCTTTCCCATCAGAATTGGTCTCTTAAAGACTTGTGTTTTTTTTTTTTGTTTAACTTCTGGAAATTATCTGAATTTCACTGTTGTTCATTGCTTGTTAACTGCCTCTTCCCTGACTGTCCCCACTACTCTGCTCCACTACTTGGGGAGAAATTCTGGAATGATAATGCAAGTTTGTCAAAGGAGGATTTCAACTAATTAGTGGTTGACCTCTGTAGGAAAAGATGTGTAATGTTTCTGAATTCCATGAAAATGTTACTTGTCTCAATACTAGATAGAACTATCCCTTTTTACAAATACAGATGCTGCAAGCATAAAGGTCTTCAGAAAGAAGCAACATCCAAAGAAGTGTTGCTTCTGAGGCAGTAAGAAAGTCTCAGTAAACAGAAATTTTTATCTTCCTTCTTGTAGCTGTACTTGAGTTCTAGTGCTCTTGTAATATGTGAGATGTGTGCTCAGATTGTGCAGCTGCTGTGGGATTCCAAGTGCATGTGATCTTTGCATGCTAGTGTATACAGTCGTCTGAACCACAGCTAAATGCAAACTTCTATATTCTGTATTAGCATATTTGTGTATGCACTTGAGTAAGGTGCTTTTTCTCTTCCTTTTTCTTTTTTTTTTGTGAATGCAGTAGTTCAGCAGTTCAGCCTGAACTCATCTCTATGCCTGTGTATGTATATATATGTATGTACACATATAGGAAAATATAGGGGTGTGTATTTGAGTTCTTATTTTCCAAATCCCGATGAGCAAAATTTCCAATTAAAGTGTTTGAAATAATGTCTTCTTTCAGTAGTTTGGTTTGGTGCTCAGAATATCATGATACTGAAGAGAATGAGTTAGTGTGAAAGATCCAACAACATAATCTAGGTAACTTTGTTCAAGTGAACCTGTCTAAGTCAGAATGAGATTTATAAAGCAGGTATGACTTTTTAGTTTTACAACACCCTGTTTTATGCTTGGAACCTTTCTAACACAGATAGTTTCTACATCAAATGTTTCTACTACCTAAACTTAAGCTGAAGTAACTAAATGATGATTTGATGATGAAGACATACAGGTGCCAACATGCCACTATGTAACTTGGTCTTGTTAGAGCAGTGATACTTCTGCTTTGAACAATGTAGAAGTCTTTTAGGTAGCTAATGTCTGCAATGAGCTTATCCTTGGTTTTAGTTTATTCTTTTGTATTGTTTGGGTTTTCTAGAATTGGTTCAGCTTCCATGGTGAAGTCAGGATAGCAGCTCACAGTGAGATTAAGCAGTTTGTGGTGAAAGAGAAGTTTTGATGTGCAAACACTATTACTAATTATCCTTATTTAATGGATTTTTTGAAGAGTGTTAAAACAAAATGTATCTGTTAGGCTGCAGAGTTGTCTCTAATCTGCATATAGTATTCTAAATGAAGGTCATAACTTTGTGGTTATGGGGAAACAACTGTAAATATCAGTATCTTGCAAGAAGCAATATAAATACTGGATGAAGTCTCATTGCTCCAGAAAGCCATGTCCAATTTAGAAATAGCACCTTTTTCAAGTTCCTAAAAAGAAAGCAATAGAATTGTCTGCACTGTTTGAAGATCTGAGACAGTGATCATGGTAAAAGGCTGAAATTATTGATGCCTGAGGTAGGGATGTACTGTAAACAAAGATTCTGCTGTGATCTGACAGTTCTGACCATCTCTGTGACTGAGTTATTGGATATGACTACCATTTAATAGATAGCTTTAATGTGTTTTCTAGTATTATTTGGGAAAGGAAAATTGTGAATCTTAAAGATGCTGAAATATGTCAGGAGATTATGTTCCTCACAATCTGGAAACTGAGTAAGTAAAACTTCTGGTGGGTTTTTGATATAAGCAAGTCCCAGTCAATTGACCTGTTATATAGATTTTCTTAGATCTGCTTATGGATTTAATATTCTGGATTCTGTCTTTTCTGTGCTTGAAGTGCTGACAATATCAAGTTCTTTATGTATCCTTGTCTGCAGTGTTATCTCTGCCTGCTACCCCAGAGTTACTGCCATTCAGTGGAGGGAACAAACACTGGTCAAAAGGTAGAAGTGTGTTTTAGGGTGGCGTTTTTTGTTGTTTGTATAGTTTTAATAGAAGAATCCTAAACCAACATTTCTGTAACTGTGAAAGGGGTAAGAGGATGCAGCCTTGGAAGTTGCAGCTTGCTTCTAAGGAAGGTTGAAGTACCAAAACCATAATGCTCAGTGGATACCTAATAACTGAAGTTAAAATCCTTCTTCCGCACCAAATACTTAAAGGGACTCATAAAAAAAAAAAGGAGGAAAA